AATCCCGGCAAAACGTGGCTACCCGTGCCAAACCACGATCCATTATTTAATATTGGGAAATAGTCTGGTCGCCCTATGGTCTAGTTGGTACCCTCACAACCTTCTAGAGGTCAGGTTAGAGGTTCGAATCCCGGCGTAAGCGAGCTTGCCTTGCAAAGGGAGCTTTCTCTCGCTTCCGCTCCTGGCCTAGTGGATGGCGCTAGTTCGCGTGTACACAGAGGGAAGAGAGTGCTGAACTCTTCTCGCATTAAGTACAGAAGGCAACGTACCACAACAGGGGAGGGTAGAGAGGGGCCCTTCTGTGTCACCACGGGTTGAAGTAAACGGCACCAGTGCTGTGAGCGCTGATTTGAAGTGACGACAACAAAAAAAAAACTGATGGGAAAAAGAGCTACCACCTTGTCGCCTGGCACCAAACCTCATGAAGAAAACATGTGAAAAACATCGCGAGACAATTGTTTGTACCTATCTTTGAGCTCCAGGAATGACCCAGGGGTTCGGCCTGTGAAGTTCTCCAAAATGGCAAGCACCTCGCTCCGCCAGCTGAGGTCTGCGTTGTGACTTCGCATAATCCACTCTGCACCGTCGGTCGGCTGGTTGTTTGATGCGCTGTCGGGGGAAAAGAGACTTCCTCCAGATACCGTCCTTACTCGTCTGTGGCCACGATGCTTGTACGACATCGATGGCTGCTGGTGCCCCATTGGAGTGCTCAACCCACTCTCTCCGCGTTCTCCGAATCTCTCCTCGCGCCCGCTGCGCTCTGACCCCCACTCCCCCATGTCGGCAAGTTGGTCCCTTGACCTGCTGCTCCTACCCGTTTCATCCCAACCCGGGCTTGCACGATCTCTCGGTTGCTGTTTGCGGTGAGCCGCTGCTGGTTTCACCCAATAACCGTGCTCTGCGATCAGACCCAGTCTGGCAAAAGGGGGGAATAATTACGAAACGCCGTTTATCTTCTGCCAAACATGTGTTGGCTACTTTTGAGTTCTGGATACGGCCCACTACCAAAACTCCTCGAGCTGGACATAGCTTATTGCAACCTACCGACGTGCCAAACTATGATTAGAAGTGATTGAAGCACGCTGAAAATGTGCGCGCCCGGTACCAACCTCGGCACACCTCCTAGCCAGCCCTCCAGCTCTGACTTTCTCCTGCCCGATATTATGTACACCACATTCGCGGTGTCCTGCACGCACAAGTAGATAGTGGCGGGACAACGTCGGATAGCACAGTCTCGAACTCAAAAACGGCACTGTCAATTCTCTGTCATGTCCGGCCACGTCAAGAACATTTGAGCGTGCGGTAACCGGTGGCAACCCTATGCAGGGAATGTCTTACCTCACACAGGGCTTCCAGCACATGCAAAAGAACTGGGGGTGGAGCGGCGAGCTGGGCAAGCGCGTGGTGTGCCACGAGAGTCCCATCGTAGTCAAACACCAACAGTCGACGGCGGCTGCGGCCGTAGAATGACTGCAGCGGAGAAGGATTCAACGAATGGGAAGTACTGAATAGAGTTAGGGGCCTGGAGCATGGTCCCGCCCGCTATGAGGCTGGAGAATCAGTTTCACACCAAATGCTTCAGCTAAACGCGTGTGGCATGGGAGTGGCGTCTGACATTGGCGGAGCGGATGCGGTGCACGGCCGCCAATGAAACGCTGTGTACCTGCCGAAAGACGATACTCCAGGCGGGTGCGTAGATGGATTGCTCACCAAACGACGAAATCAGAAACGTTGCAATCTGCAGGCCCTCGGCAAAAGTGGCAACGTGATGACGACAGATTGCTCAACGGCATGAAAAAAGGTGCTCACGGTCTTCAAAAACACATGAAAAAACACGGGAGGCAGTCAGTTGCTCCCCGCTTGTACATCAGCGCGCCTCCCAACATGGGAAATAGAATAAACAGAGTACCTCACAGTGAAACACCGGTTGACCGGCAAGTGTCTACCTGGAGATACCCGGCGTCCAACTTCTGCAATCGATTGTACTCCCGTGCCTTCTGCCCAGCCATCAGGAGCGAGGGGATGATCCTTCTCGCCCAAAGATGGCTCGTGTAATGGTTGACATACCGAAGAAGTTGGTGATGCCTGATCTTTTTCGTCATAACCTGAGGGTACGAAAAGGGAGAGGGCGGGTCATATCCTGAAGGTCCGACGAGTGAGAAGAACACGTGATCTGTCGATATCAGCTACTTCAGAATAAAATGATGTTGGAGAACGACTTGAGCCGGGCATTAGCATTCGAAGACCAAGTCGTAGATCCTAGACGTTACTTTCATGTTGCTTGTAGGGTTCTCCAAACCGTATGCAGCGCCCGACACGTCACTGGTTGCTGGAGTCGACATCTGGAGAGCGACGATTTCGAAGGTACTGCTCGAATAACCTTCGGTGGTGGCCTTTCATGTGGACGTCAGAAGGTTTCGCGTAACCAGCCCTACACATGTACAGTACGAGGTCACACCTCGCACTCGACCAAAGCTGTCGACTGTAAAGATTGAGGACGGGTCCGCTGTCAACTAAAACATCTCGAGGTAACCACTCTCTCACCGGCATTGCCAACGCTGTGTGGATGGACTCTGCCACCTTGTCCGGGTCGTATGGGTTCACCAGCACCGCTCCTTTGAACGACAGCGCGCACCCTGCAAACTCACTGAAAACGCAAAAGGAAACTGGATGTCAGGGTGCGAGGGTAACAGTGTAACGCGTTACAACGCGTTATGTTGTAGACAGGCCCTCGCACATGGTCTTCACGATGAAGAATCAAACGCCAAGGAGCGGGACAGCAAGAACCAGCGAAAAAAATCCAGCTCTTTTTCTGCTATGTTCCAAGGTTGTACATCATCCCTGGAACCATAGACGGCAATCCGCACTAAATGAAATAAGCGGAGGTATCGAAGCCGGAATGTTTCACCTGTACACGAGAACCCCGTGCATAGAAGTCTGCTGACATGCGACGAACTCCATCGCTCCCAAGTTGACTCCCTCTCGCAGGCTCGTCACCAAGGCAACGTCAGCCAACGCCCAAAGCGCCACCATCTCGCTGCCGAGAAATCACATCGTGGTACATTCATCCGAGGTGAGGCCAGCAGTCGGTCGGTCGACGTGGTGACGGTCCCACTTCCATTGCTCATCCGCATTCTTTCATCGTTTCGAGCGAACCCACGCTGTCATTTGTTGAATGAAAGTCAACCTTTTGCTTCTCAAGCATGCCTGTACGAGTGTCTCACCTGTGGCTCAGTTTCTTCTTCATGTAGTGGATCGGGGTGTAGTCTGTTTTGCCGTACTTTCCGTTCACGCGTCCGACCAGTCCGTCCACAGCCTTTCGAAGGTCTCTGCAGCGTTGGCCATGGCAAGCCAGGCATGGATTTGACGGGTTCGTTATGCATGATAGCAACAACAGCTTTGAAAAAACCGCGCACAACACCGCGCTACTGTGCCTTTCGCAGCGACGCATGTGAAAAAAAATGTATGCACCAAGACACACTAGTCAGCCCTTCCATACCTGTCACCTCTTCGACCATCGTCTCGTACTACGACGAACATAATGACCTTTCCTCGAAGCTCAGGATACTTCTCCAGAAGGCTGTCGACCGCGAGAAGTTTCAGAGGGATTCCCTGCAAGGTGAAAAGCGCAAGATGCTTAGGCCAAAAGCAACTTGAAGAGCCGTATGAGCTAGAGGAGTGGGTGGTGGTGTTTAATTCACACCATGGTGTTCACACCATCGAGGGGCTAGAGGATGTCACAATGGAACAATGAGAGGCTTAGCATGTTACCGGACAAGCGTCGGACACCAATCGATCAGCCTTGATGGTGCTAGAAAAAGTCACAACCGAAAGTCTGTCCACGTACCTTGCACAGGTCAAGACGGTCGATGCTAACGAGCACCTTGCGGTCTTCTGTGTGGCACACGTGCCGTAGGCGCTCCATGATGGTCCTGTTCAGAGAGCGAACCGTCGATAAGAATTTCGAGAGCAAAAACCAACGACTGCGTCTCGAGGAAAAAAGCAGTGTGTGCCGACGAACAGTGACGGTCCTACAAGAGGTGTGCTTTTTTGAATCATCAGGCATTCATTAGTGTTAGTGGAAAGCGACGGTGAAACTTACCCGATCTCCGGTGTCATCTCGAACGCCTCGGGATGAATACCCATAGGGCAGATACTTACGCTGATGAGACGTCCGTTGTACTCGATTCGGCTGGGATAAGATTCAAGGCCAAGGATCCTGCACGAAGAAGAGGGTACGCGCGTTTCTCTTTGTTTTGAAGACAGTGAACGGTAGCAACCCTGCAACGTGCTTGATTGAATCCACGCGTCTTGGCAAATATGTACAGCACCCGATGACTCGGTGTGACAGTCCAACGGCTTGTTGACTACTTCAACACAAACTAGCATGGTCAACAACCAAAGAGGTGGGCCGACGCGCAAACGTGTGTTTCCTTTACCGACACCTGCAACAGCATGTCCCGTAGTAATTGAGGACATAGCACCGCCATGACTAACAAATCGGAGTCCTTTTGGTGCGTGTCCTAAATTCTTTATCTCCCACACTTGAGTCGATGACCACAAAAGAAGGAAGTCCGGAACAAAACGGAATGCCTCATCTCGCCCCCCCTCGACTCCACCGCGCATCTGTTTGTTCTCGAACGATGCCAGCTTCTACGTCCTGCACTTTGTACAACGTTAACTGTAACGCCACTAGAAGTTGGTTAGACGTGGAGCGCGGGAGCCTTCCAATGTTTTCTCGGGCCGCTGAGGGCCAATGACCAGGCATCGGGCGTGCTCTCCGTGTAGCATGCGTAAGGGTCACCAAAGTGCCAGAACGGTCGTGGTGGCTGGCCGAGTAAGTGCTCCAGCACCAACGCCTCACCTAGTGCACGAATTGAGGAAGTGCCTCACATAGTCGAAGTGGTTGAACGACACCAGATCTGCCCCAAGAATCCCCTCGAGAAGTACCTGTCGCACTGGAAGCATGCGGTAGAACTCTACCCGTGCGATGTGGGTTGAGATGAAATACAGAGGATCAAGAAGTACGCGGGGAAGCCTAACGTTGAGCAGTTATGAATGGCAGTCATTCATTCATCTGTTTAAGCAATCCATTCTACCAAGTACACGTAACCGGTGAAAGAGGAGGTATCACACGCCATAATTTTAGGTCGACAGCTCTCATCTGGCGGGCACCCATCTAAAGCTTATACCCTAGGTCGCGCACCATTCACTTTTTTGCTGTGCCGCAAGCTTCAGGGTTCCAATCGAACCAGAAGCTGTGCTCACCCGTGGAGGGAAAAGGACAGTGGAGGAAGAATCCGCATGTAATGTCAGGAAACCTCTTCCGCAGGAGAGCAGGCAGAAGCATGAGGTCGTAGTCATGCACCAGCACAATATCTCCCTCCTCGTAGATCCCTGCCACAGCTTCTAAGAACAACTTGTTTGCATGCGCATATGCCTGATTCGAAAAAACAAAAGTCGGAATGAGGGGAAAAGAACGCTGAAATACCAGGTTCTTATAACCGGACCCACTGCCAAATTGTTCAGCAGATAAACCCTCCACCTATCGCCCCAAGACATGGACCGTTACTGTAGGACACACGGCAGAGTAAAGGTCAAGCCTGGTACACGACGGAGGTAGGGGTACGGGTGGTGTGGCATGTACTACATGATGGTGTTCGACATTCATGGTGCTACTGTTCAATCATGAAAATGTGGTCCCAGATACGGCGTCCTAGCTGTTTAAGGAGCTGGGGTACAGCCTCGACGTCCTGGATAGTAGTTTACACGAATCGATAGTTCTAGAATGGGGTCAAAATTCTGGTAGCCACCAGCGGCAGAAAAAATTATCTAGCATATCCTTGTAACCATGTTCTGCTCCTTAGAGACAGAAACATACATAAGGTCTACAACAGGCTCCAGCAACAGCTACGAACCCAGGTATTTGGGTGTGTCCCTTGCCCCTAGGCGATCGGTGTTTTCAACGGTCGCGAAATCACTCTCCGTGGAAGGGCGCATACAACACGGGGAATCTTTCCGGCAAAATTGTTAGCACAGACGTTGATAGACCTTTAGACGGATTTCCTACAGGCTGAGGGCTCACAAGATTGCAGGAAATGCAATCCTAATCCTCTCGTGAGCCTAGAGCCCTTTTTTCGCGGCTTCTCCGCCCGTAGACCTCGCCTCGAAGCGAGACTTGCACCTACCGATAGCCCTGTGTTGCGAGGGCTCTCCTGGCGTGCCGCGCGCCCTCGGGGCGGACTGCGTGCAGCGCTAGCGAGGGCAGAAAGTCGCGTCTCCGACATCTACCATGGATCCACCAATCACGCCCCGATATCTTGACATTGCAGGCCATTCATACGTTCGGCAAGCGGCTGACGTCGTGCGTGTGCGCTGGCTACACGCTACACCCTTATTACCACACACGCCAACCAAGCCACCAAGTCTCCGCATATGACGCGAGACAAAGTACTCTACTGCTGCTGTAGTGCGTCTCCCTTTCGATCCAGGCGAAAAGCGTGGGGGCTGGCGGCGGGTCGGTGTCGTCCGCACAGCTGTCTGCAAAACTACACCCGCCCGAGAAAAGGAAAAAAACATGAAGCACGTGGTTTGTTCCCCCGTTTCATGGAAGTACATGTACTTTTTTAGTTTATTGCGGAAATATCTTCTGGCAATAGCATCTCGAATGGGGTAGTCTCTCTGTGTTCGTATTTATGTTTCCGAATCTTCTGGCTACCTACAAAATATGCTGCTGTGGGTTGCCATATTTTCATAGCTCGGCTGGTTGTCTAATTTTCTCTGCTATTGTTTACACACAACGTGCTGCAAAAACTACCAATGATTTGCGCTGCTTTTCCTCGCCTCCCGCACTCACAACGAACCACGATTCTCACCGACGACTGTACCTCAGATCACATACGAAGACCACACGCCCTAGAAGAAGCGAACTATATTCAGCTACGTCTCGCTGAGGGGGTGGGTAGCACATGGGATAGGGGCAAGAAAGAGAGAAAAGCTCTTTGCTTGGTGTATCGTACTTAGTTTTATTATTCGACACAATGCTCCTCCCATTCCCCCGGTAACCCCTCGAGTCTTACGAATAGTAGAATATTGTAGGGGTCGCTCCTCTGTTTTCTTACTGAGATGTTTCTTCCATGGTGTGGCCCAGGTTGAGCTATTATGTTACCCTATTTCCCTATTTTTTTCGTGGTCAGTGAGCCTTTCTTTCTTAAAAACAAGTTTTATTTCGAATAGTTGATTGCTCTGTCCTCCGGCCGTCGAATAACATATGAATTTCTTCATTGTGCGTCTCTGCTCTTCGAACAAACAGCTTGTTATTCCTCTTCGCAGCATTTCCTCTTCGTATCTCTTGTTTCAAAACTCCACCCGCACACACTTGCCATTGCCATTGAACCTACGAGCGTAGCGGCGACCGCGAAGCGGTACGCCGTGAAGCGCCCTTATAAGGTGCATATCTTCTCACCTCGTACTGACTCTGAAAGTTCTCTAGAAGGGCCTCATTGAAGTTCGTGGGCATGCAGTGAAACAGCGGCCACAGGACCCCCTGAGTAAACTTGTAGTAGTACAGGTCCTCGACCTGCGCAGGCAATGCCGGGAAGACGTCAGGCATACCATGTATTTGATGCCTTGATTGCCATGAATTCAGCCAAGAGCATTTGACGCATCTCCTGAGTACAGTGAGCAGAGATATCGTAGCGTATTTTACCCCGTTACCTACCTCTTGCGTTAAGAAAACCGGAGTACAGTTATGATCTGCTTCCAATTTCTTGCGTACGGCTGGCTGAATCGCCGGATCCACCACTCCGCCGAGCCAGCTCACCCAACGCACCCTGCATCAACGAAGAGCAGCGGGCCAAGCGCACGCAGATAGTAGGATATTAGGCTTGCGACTAGCATAGCCGGCGTGAGATATAGCGGCTTTCTGACATTTGTTGAGCAGTCTTGGAATATTAACGTCACAGGTTTCGAGTGATTTGACATCGGCGAGCGGTGCATACAATTGCTGAAGATTCCCCACGTTCAAAGGGGGGACGGCTGCACATAAAAGATTAACGGAGCGACACCGCCACCTGAAGGCCTTGCATGTATGCTGTCCCTCCATTTGTATTTGAATGCTATCGAAGTCGCAACACGCTACATATCGACACTTGGTACGTATGTGGCAATGAAGCGCTGGGACGCCCGCTGTTGGAAGGAGCTCGTTCTGTCAGCGTCATGTACGAATACAAGTCGGCATCGCGTTTCAGAGTTAAACTTGTGTATGTGTTCGTCTCATCTACTCTGGCGCCAGTCTACAGTAGAAAACACCTTTCGGATTACATTTCTGACGTGTCAGCCGGGGTAACACAGGAACTTTATTGCCCCACCTTTCCTCCTGCCGTCCTTGCCTTACTGGTGATTGACAAACTCGTTCTCATCACTCGTGTGCAAGGTTTCGTAAATTGACCTTCTCTACATGAGACCGCACCCAGAACCTACAGTTTCGCCAATCGATGCACGACAAGCACACCTGTTGCTTCCCATTAGGGAGTCTATTGCACTCTTGAACCCGCCCATGCTCTCCTCGTGGGTCTGGGGGGGCGAGACACGATTTACGTGCGAGTAGTGATGTAAGCAAGCAGTGGATATTGGGTGTCCTCAAGCGTGCAGGTGAAGTCAGTATGAAACAGAAGTACCTATGTACGGACATAGGGTCCCGACGTAGTCGAGAGGGATGCCAACTAAATAGTTGGCGGGCGCCTAATTTCGGTGGGGCGATTTCATTGGTGGATGGGCAAGTCATGGGGAAATTGGTACGTCGTCTAACCGGCACCATGGTATGTTTTTATTTGCGAAGTACTCACGCGTCGACGTAGTCTACAAGGTCATGTAAACCAACTGTGGTCTACAAATAGCTGTCCTTTTACATTCTGCAAAGAAGCAACCATGTTTATCCTGTTGACACTCGCACATTCTGCAGCAGACTCAAGTGCCGTTTCTACTCTGCGTACTGGTACGCCGCACTGGACCGCACTGGTATGCATACCCGGCTTTGTCCATCTTGCGATTCACTAAGCTTGAGAGGCTTTTTGACAGCGCAGATAATAAGCTTCTTCTCCACCTCCAGGATTCGCGCCCCGCCAGGCCTGTCGTGGCTTGCTTTCCGAACCTCGGCTAGTTGCCTGTTTGAGGTCAAGTGCAACCGACGGTACATGTACAGGGAAAACACGCAATTTTTGTGTTCCGATCTCACCATGATAAAATTGTCACAGATATTGCATGCAACGTAAATACTCTCAAAAGCAGACAACCACACAGGTGGGAACACACAGCCACCCGGCACGTGTACATTCGCTTCTTGTCTACTGTGGTAGGAGAACATCAGAGTTGACCATACCGCGCTGAGTGGGAGCACAGAGAAGGACTTCGTTCGTTTTGTCCTCCTGAGCACATCGATAGGGACACGCCGCATCTTACCTATGGAGAAACTGCAGCTCATGTAGCACATCAGCCTGGCTTGTCTCGTCCAGTTCGTCATCGGCAACAGATCCTGTTCTGGACCTCGGCAGGGAGTCTGGGGATGCCATACCGTGAGGCGTGACGCGGTTGCTTTCATGAGTGTTCGGAGTCTGTAAGTGACAGTTGGTCGCCGCTGGGAGCTCCGTGGCTTTCCAGACGGGTACCCATCACCCGTCGAGAACCTATATTGTTGCGGGGAAGTGTCACTCAAGTACTTACACGTGCAGCGTGGCGAAGCAGGCAGGCAGTATACACCCGAGTGCGTAGCGGAAGGGGCAGTACTCTTGTGTAGCGAGGGCTACACGAAGCTGGCAAGATGCCAACGAATAACCTCACCACGAGGTCGGGCATGAATTTCCCAGCAGCTGTTGGCCTGTGGCCGACACGCGGTGAAGATACCAAGAGCCCTGGGAACAACGACAACATCACAGCCACCGCCACAGATCGACATCGCTTTCGTGAAGGAACATTTCTCGTTGTGATAGCATGTTTGCTGGCTTCCAACTGGCGTTTGAGACACAAAGGGATCAACAGTGCGAGGCCGCGAAAAACGTCCAACGGCCAGTCCGAGTTGCCCGTCCGCAGCACGGCGAAACTCTCCGCACTAATGCTGCTGTTAGATCGCGGCTTGCGTATGGCTGCCTACGTCGCTGTGCAGCTCTTGAAGCTTTTCAGCGGCCGAATTGGCAGTTGGCCGCAAAAGAAGGGCTTGCACACCAGGTATGTCTCTCATTCGATCTATTCCGTCGCTCCGAGCTGGTCTAACTACCACCCGGCACATGCAGCATTCCGTTTATGACGCAAGATAGCACGCCCCATGCATCGATGCAAGGCTCCATTGCATCCTACTCCAAGATGAAAGAGGATGCCATTATCGAATGGTGCGTTTTGGGAAAGCTGTCGATAATGTGGTTCTGACGCTGCCATTTTTCGGCACCGCCACTTTTCTGCTGTATCCCCGCAATTGGACTTCGAAAATCAGTCCACGGGGTGTGACATCTCGTGCCACCCACGGTATAGTCAACCACGTTGCATGTACTGCTGTAGTCGAAAATAAAGTGCGTGATATTTCATCTCCGGGTGTGCGTTTTCATGTCAGACTTGGCGGCATGCACGATATGATCATAACTTCATGCGTCACACTTGCGATCGTCCAGTGCAGTGTCAATCTGCATATGTGCGCATGTGCAGGATACTAAATATTAGTGAAAGGATACGCACGCGTGGTGTAACCTGGAAGATCCGTGAAGAAGTCACTTGATACATAATATTACTACCTTTCTTTGGTAGTGCAAAACAGCAGCTGTTGCTGTTGCCTTGGGCAAAGGTACAAGAATGACAAAAGTGCGGGACGGATCCGCTGATTTATCCTTCCGCGGGGAGTTAAACGTTTTTGAAGAAATCATTCTCATCCATGATCCACCTACACATCTAAGTCCTATAGCACTGAAAGGACTCCCTTCTGGTGGGTGTCAAGCCTCCCGCGGGTGACGCAAGACCACATGCGCATTACCCAGAAGGAGGGGGAATGTGTGTTGTTTTTGATGGGCAGTTTTGTAACGCTCGTATCCCGTACAAAATCGCGCACGTACATACGCATAGTTATTCTACATTGGAGCCAGCTGAAGCGGACAACAACTTGCCAGCGAAAGAAACTACCGACTGATCAGAAATCAAGGAGACCGATTGAATCCGAACTAACACCACAAACAAGATATTTTTAACACTGCGGGTGCATGCGCTAAGACTTGCTTACGGCAGCAGCGTTTCACTTGGCCCGCTGCGAAGTGTATTACAGAAACGTAGGTATCATTGTACATTGCCATGACGTAAAGAGTCACAGCGATGGATGTGGAGGCAGCAAATGAATAATGGATGCGGAGATGAACAACTATCCAAGAGGTTAGTAAATATTTCAAAACTGTCGTATTTGATGGGTTTAGAATTGGTTCGCCAGGCGTTGTCTGCGCGGAACGCGCCCCCGGGGTACAGAGCCAGTTTTCGCAACTTCGACCGTCAACCACAGGCGCGACGGAGGCCTACCGAGCTCCGGGCACGAGCGTTGATGTACCGACGAGCCTCCTGCGTGCCCCTGAGAAGGAATCGCCAGAAAAGACTCACTGCCGCGAGAGAAAGAAAAACAAAAAATAGTCAAATTTGTCTGTGTATTTTAGGCTGTGCTACAAAGGTAGACATAGCTACATAAATATACCAATTGTAGACTGATACAGCAGTGCCCCGTTGAGCGACATGCCCTGAATAGCGACCACATCCCCTCGTGACGCAAGTAGTCGCTATGAAACGGGTCCACCACTGCTTGACGACAAGCTTCAATGCTTTTTGCATGCAGAAGTCCCGAAGATGAGGCTGGCTACGTATCATGATCGGGTGGAGAAGGCAGGTGATTCCTGCACACGCCGGGATGTGATCCCGCGACCTTGACCATCCGATGATTTCGAATACGCAGCATCTGGTCCATGGGGGCGCAATTGCATATTTTGAGCACAACATCACCCGACCGGCGGCCAAAATATGAATATCCAGTGCCCGACAAGATCGGAGAGTACTTGTTACGGTCAAAACTCGAGACATGAGCCGTCAAAGAGCGTGAATTTGCACACCCCATTACCCCCCCCCCTCGGTGTTTGCCATCGGGGTTGGGTTTTCGTCGCTTGGCAACGACGTTGTAAAACAAGCCGCCCCCCNATGGTCAAGCACCCTCGAGGCAGTTACACGGTGCTTACAACTGTCTCTGGAAGTGAAAGCACCGTAAATTCAGTCATACGCAGCTGTCATCCGTACGTAAGGAAGTAAGCACAAGATGCCGAACACCCTTAGCAGGATGCAGCGCACCCTTCATGCGACTCGCCGAATATCTCACGGCGCTTCGCGCTTGGTGATGTGAGAGCCTGGTCCGGTGAGAACCCGGCGTGCTCCGTCCCGGCTTTGTAAGGATGCGAGGTCAATGGTCTAACGACTACGACATGCACGACTATGAGTACACCCCCCCCCGCCCCATTACCAACCCATCTCCACCACCAAGACCACGGCTACAGCAACGGACAAAACAAAAAGGGGTCTGGAGTTAGTTTTTGAGAGGTATTTCCCTGGACACTGTTGGGCTTTTGGATTTTTCATGGATGTCCTCGCCGAAATTAAAACACTGCAAAAAAAAAATACTTCTACTAGTATACTTCTAGTAGTATGATATCTGCAGGGGATAATCCCCGAGGGAGAATGTCTGACCCACCCTTGCTGGTAGTGCCAGATGGCCACGACGCAGTGCTCGCTGTGTGTGTTGAGGGCTATTGGGCGCTGAGGCATGTTCAGGCGGACACGAGCGGTCCCCCAGCACTAGGAGTAGTTCCAAGGGTGCATTATCCTGAAACGTTTTTGTGTTGAAAAATCCGAAAACGGAGGGGAGTGAGCACCGCTGTAGTAGAGAAGGGAACACCCACGATATCGTGATATCGTGAATCCACCCGGTCTAGTAGGTAACCCTGGTCCCTGCTGCTCCTATATAGCAGCTGGTTATGGGTTCGAATATCTGTGTTTCTGCGGGATAAGACGATTGTTTCGTACGCAGAAGTGAGTGGGACTGCTATATCCTTGCCACGTTAAGATCGAAGGCAAGCACCGCAGGGGGAACGTGGGAGAAATATTCCCTGTGTTACCTTCCTCATATGTGTCCCCGGCCGATACGTCAAATATTTACCGAGAGGTGTAGCCCGGTGCAAGGATGGACGGGACGGGAACACACAATACACATGCGCACATGAATTACAACAGTTTTATTCAGGCAAGGGACGATTGTTGACCAGCAGAACTGCACTGGACACCTGTGTGGAGTGGGGTTGTGGAGCTCGTCGTGTGGAAGGCACGCAGCGAGGAGAGACTTGTATGAGTGGGCATGTGGTGCACAAACTGCGGACTAATAGTGGGTATTTACATGCATACCCCGCAAAGAAGAGTAGTCTACATAAATCCATGTACATGAAATGGGAGAAATGGCGGCTCTTGGGACCGAAAAATCTGGATTCTGGGAGGCCTGCAAGCAGCCGACGGATATCTGTCGCGTGAAGAAAGAGGCGTTGCAGGAGGAGCTGCGTGCTGCTGACAGAAGAGAGGAGTGTGCTGTGCTTGGCGAGAGTGGGAGTGGGTGGAGGGAGCGCGCGCGAGTGGTGTGGGAGGCCCACGCAGAGAGAGCGAGGAGAGAAACGCCGAAAGAACTCCCGTCGGCAAGAAATCCCGAAAGGGAGAACTCTAAATCCAAGTGAAAAGTTTTGGAGGAATGGCGGCCTGAGAGCCCGAAAGTGGGAATGCTGCTGTGTCAGCGCCCCACGCGGACATGAAAAAGTGGTTCAACGGAAGCAAGTTACAAGAAGATGACTGACAAAGTTCTATACTCCTGAGCTTGGGGCCCACACAAAGACGTTCTCCACACAGTAAAATATTCCCAAACACGTACACAACGTATACCAACAATCCTGACAAGCTGATAACATCCTGAAACAATGCGCCTGACACCAAAATGACTGAAGAGCATGAGTCGTACAGAACGAAACGGGCAAAATCACATGATTGCCGCACTCACTCTTGAACTACACACTCAACTTGTTCTTCAAGATTAAACGTGAAAAAAATCATGCTACAGATAGGCTAATTCCGCTTCACTGCAACCCATGAGTATACGAATCAACTACTGTATCTCGAACATAAATTAAGCCTGACCAAGCAAAAAAGGTGGTTGATTCACTCAATAGTTAGTGTCAGCCAAGCAAGCATTCGAACCTGCGCCGCCATGTTTCATACGTTCACGTCCGAGGCATAGTCCAGACCATGCCAATAATAGGCATAATGCAACAACAAGTCATACGCCAATATTCATACGCCAATAACAGGCGTCTTCCGGAACGCTTCTCTCAGCGTGGCGGCGTACGCCGCCAAAAAGCTTGCACCTCTATATGTTGGCTGTGGCCTAGGTTTTCCGATCAGCACCAGCGCGCAGCAGCAGGTCGAGCATTTTGGGGGTTTGGCCAAGCTGTGCAAGAGACTTTAAAAGTGACACCGCAGACGGTACCGATTCACCAAGTATGCAAGCTCCCATAATTTGCGCAAGTAAAACTGCGTGCCGGCCATGACACTGCGCGCATTCATATCCGGCTTCAGGCAAGAAGGATTGCCAGAAAAGCCCGAAACGGTCACGCTGGATGATGGCAACTCCCCAAAGCTTGAGCGGAAGAGGCCTCGCACGGAATGTGCTCCAGGCGAACGATCGCTTTCACCAATAGGAGCTCCGCGTCATGTGGCGGTTATTATGGACGGCAATAGGCGCTTCGGTCGAGTCAAGTATGGAGACCCACTCAAGGTAATTTTTTATGTGTGCGAAGAATTTGTATATAGGCCTACCAAGCAACCGTGGGTAAGAGGCTGTAGCTCTCCTCAGTGACACTGCTGAACGTTTAGCGATCACGTCCGCGGAACCTTGTGTTGTTTTTGGCAACGGATTGAATGCATTCACTAAGGCAGAGGGAACGCGTGACCGCTCGCATGAAGCTTAGACGTTCGAAAGTCACGGTAAGGCTGTTCGATAACCTTTGCTGCGATATGCTGATTGAACGTTGTCCGGGGTTTCCTCGGAGACGTTGTTCGACAGCTTCAAGTCGTCAGGAGTGCTCTTGCACGTCCCTTCGTTTTGCGCCAACAGGCCCATCGAGTTGGAAACGCGTGTTCGGGGTACACAGCAGATTTTGTAAACAGCTACATCGAGTTGGAAACGAATAAATCTATATTGTTTTACCTCTTGGTGAGTTAGGCTGTTGCTGATGGGGACTCCTCTTAAACCTCGACCAGGGACACTCTGATGGGGGCAAAAGGTTGGGAGAATTCCTTGAGTGGTGTATGGAGGCCGGGGTTGCTGTGGCGACGGCCTTTGCTTTCTCGACTGAAAACTGGAAACGAGATGCGCACGAGGTGAGCATACTTGGAGCAGACATTTGTTGTGGCACGACGCTACGTCCAGTCATGGGTCTAGGGAAGGAATGGAGTAAAACACGTTAGAGGTTATTGAATCCGTGAGGGCGTTTTTGTTCGGCAAACGTGGCTGATGTTCAGTGTGTTCACTTGGGCGGTCGCCACCCACAGTGTCCTCGCGAGAGGGTGCATGAAGGCGACCAGTAATCCTTCGCGATATGATTGATTGGTAACTTTGGTTATGTTGCCAATGCACCCAAGGGTTGAGCTACCAGACCATAAGTGAAGCAGGCACCGTCCTCGACTATGAATATCGATAGTGCAAGTAATGTAGAAGTAACCTGGTGCGTCTACACACGGACTTAATCATAAAAAATATTCTTGAAGCTTGTCAGGACACACACAGCTGTGATATGGTTCGAACGGCCTTTCCCTTTGCCCGTGAAACTTATCATAGATTCATTTTCAAAGGGACTGACTGGCCCACCACACGAACGACCTCGACGGTGGGTGCACCTTGTTATTTTTAGCATCGGCGCGTGTAGTTATTCTTTGCCCGGGGTTTGTGGCGTTGCCGCTGTCCAGGTGAATCTGCTGATGGATCTGGTGTGTACATCATGTGGTGAGCTCATGGAAGACGCCGGAAAGAAAAATATGCGGATACGTGTACTTGCATCTGACGCAACAAAGGTAGGTGTGTTGTGTTCAGCATCTTTCTTTGTTTTCCAATCTCCAGAAGTAGTGTTTTTGCGTTTTTTTGCGGTGGCCAGGGCGATGACCTATTTGACCCAAAATTCTCGTGGTAGAGATACTTCCTGCTATTTCTCGTACATGCAACGGGCACTATTCTTCGAGCTTGCAGCAGATGTGCTCAGTGTTGTCGATACCCGACACGTCCAGTCCAAGCTCAATGAGTTGGATACTACAGTAGTAAGTGCACAGCGACTGAGAGTGCGCAATGGGGGACATTGAAGTGGCGATACAGGCAGGGTAACCCATGTAACCTATGGAAGTCTTGAAGTGATCGGGATGCACAGACCGCGACACATCAGCATCAAAACAAGCCAAATGTGTTCACTGGGTGTTGCAAACGAATACCGTCATGTCATACTTTTTGCTGCTTCAAGACTGACGGCAAAAGATGAGGTGACGTTTATCTATCTTAAATTGAACAAGTGAAAGCCCCAACCCGCCACCTCAGTGTACGGTTGCGTTCTGTGATCGTGTGTTTGGCAAGCACTGAGCACGATAATAATACTTTTGGGTTGTTTTGTCGGCGCTTGTGGAGGATTTGCATAAGGCGTGTTCGTCGTTGCATCTAGGGATCGCTTTGCGCAGCGTGTGGCGAAGCCGCCGATGTCTTCATCACAACAGATGTAAGCAAGCCATGCCCGCATCCCCCTATTCCCCCCCGAATTGTTTTCATCTCTCATGATTAGAAGCAGGTACGTTAAACCGCATCCTATTTTGTAGCCCCCTCCTGGTGTTCCCCCCGCCCCTGCAAAGGCGAGTCGACCAAGTATTTTCTGGATTGAGATGGGATACCATCTTCAGGACAATTTCGGCGGAAACTGAATGCAGCCAAAGGACATCTTGTGTCGAGGGAACCATTGGGTCAGAGGTTACACTGTCCAAGAAAGGCGTAACCGCAAAAGTCAAGGCTGCTGCAGTCAACCATCACCGCTCATCCCAGGGGTCTTCCGTTACGGTCTCTATTAACGGCATCCCTGCCTAAATCGCCATCTCTATGAGTCCCCCAGCTGTCGTACATTGTCCCCACAGCACCATCGGCTTCAGAAGCCTTGGAGGCGAGGGACACGAGCAAATGTATTCCTTTATTAGCCTCACCTCTATATCTAATTTTTCTCAATGGAGGTCTGGGAGGTCAAGATGGAGCTCCCCGAAGGACTGTGTTTGGGCATATGCGATACTAGGAAGAATGAAGTCAAACTAGAGCAAGAGGGATGCGAAGAGAGATGTTCAACTGCGTATCGCGACAGCTCCTTATACACAACCAAAGTACACAAAACTGAGTTGCGCTCTTCGATGGATTTTGAGAGCTTCCGACCCAGCAACCGCCAGTCGTGAGTCTACATATCCAAGAAACAACTTCGTTTGATCTTGATGCTGCCAGCCAAAGGGGAACGAAACAGAACCTGATTGGGAAATCTACTCCTTCTAGCTCAACTGCTCGGTTGTTCGCCTGTTAAGATCCGAAGGACGAATGACTCAACTTCAGCTGGGGTCCCATTCGCAGCCATTAGGCTTACGTGTCTGGAAAGGCTGTGACAAGAGTTGCGAGGAAGCATGAGGCCATACCTTAAGTCCAAAATAAACTCTGCCTTGCGAAGCCGTGACTCTTCCTAACTTCTCTTTTTTATTTTCCACACAGTGTAGACTTTGATTAGAGTATTGGACAGTCGAAAACGCCTTTGAGATATTCGAGAAGCTGCGATGATTGAAGAACTAAAACTGCAAGTACAAGGAGCCTCAACTTGCCAGAGGCAGAGAGGTATGTTGTGTAGCAGTCGGGCAGAGGAAGCAGAGGATGCGACCGATGAGCTTCTTGAAAGGTTTGCCACAATTACTGTGTGCAGACCCGCGGTTTCCATCGATAACGGACGTTTAAGGACAAGTTGTTGATCGCCACTAGCCGCACGCTGTTTCAGATACCCCCAACCCCAAATAGAGGCGGAATCACGCCACGAGCAGGCTTTCAAAACCTGTCCCTCTTGAAGTCCTTGCCATGGCTGACCCAATGCATACAACCCTTTGCTGGTGCTTCACGTGCTCGCATCTCGCAGCTGCCCGAACGGGTGCTGTCGGCGATTCAAAAGGCCGAAGATGCAACGAGAGATTGCACTGGGTTCTTGTTTAACATCTGCCTGAGTTACGGTGCTCGGCAAGAACTGGCGAACGCGTGCCGGCAGATTGCACAAGAAGTGGCCAGGTAGGAGGGAGGATATTAACATATTAACTTATGGCCAGGTAGGGTTAGGGCCATCATTTGTGCACGTGTGGATTCCGTGACATGCACGCATATCCCTGCCTTTGTGTTTCAGAAGTTTCGACGAACACTGCTGCGATCCATGTAACACCCACCGTGGTACATAGTTTTATGAGGTTGCCGAATTCGACACACGAGAACGATGCACTCCCACCGATAGTTGTGCGACCATCGATGTCGTTACCTCATCAATACTTGTGTTATCCACGTGTTCTGTATGTGCTTGCTGTTGATTAGCACCAGTAGGACTCGTTTTTGCAAGCCAATCGGCGAACCGCTTCGGCTTGTTTGTCTGCGAGTTTCGTTCACACTCCGCTGCCGCAGCGAATTCAAAACGGTGTACGAAGTGGTACAAGTAATAAATTTTGTTCCCCGTCCGTCCCAGTCATTTAAAGGCACGTAAGGATACAACCATAACGTGTCAACCAATTTCGTGCTGTCCCCTTAAAAGAGGGACGACATAACATTGTTGTTTTTTTACTTGGCAGCGGTGCCACGAGCCTTGACTTGGTCGACGAGTATGCCGTAGAGCGGCATCTATTGACCAAAGGTCTACCGGATCCAGACCTCCTCATTCGGACGTCTGGAGAAAAACGGGTGAGTCAATTTGTCGTTCGAGCTTCGCTGGCGGGCGTGGTTTTACGATGGAGTCCTTGGAGGCCGCCCACCTCCTGCAAACGTCGTGGTGCGACAGTGATTCGAGATGAACGTGCGCATTCCTACCTTCGACCAAAGAGGCTGCGGTCTAACCTACGCGGGATACTGTGTTTGGGCAGATAGCTGAGCGTCCATTTTCTGTCTCTCTTGTTTTTGTCACCTCGTCAACGCACTGTCGCTCGCAGTGGCGTACCTTCGCATGGTCTTGTGCCTCAAGCTGAAGAACCCATCCCGAGGCCGAACAGAATAATTACTCACCTAGTTTTGTAAGCGGCTTGATGACCGGTGACTTCATTGTAAAGCAGCACACCCATTCTGTCCTCACCTTAACAGACACAGATACATGGATTAGCGTGTTGTGGTTGGGTTCACTTGGATTGCCATCCTTCTTGTTCTTGTGTGACAACTACATAGCTTCAGTTCCCATTGTCCCAACAGGTGAGCAACTTTCTCCTCTTCCAGATGGCTTACACGGAGCTATTTTTCGTGGACAAGTTGTGGCCAGATATCACTCGGCGTGACGTGCTCGACATTTTCGAGGCGTTCAAGACACGAAAGCGCAGGTGTGCGACGAACCTCATGAGAATTAACGCACAGTTTGTCGAGTAGGATGAGTGCGTGCGTGCTTGGCACAGTGAGAACTTGTCACGATGATGTTTGACCTCGAATTCAACTCTCGCTCTCCCTGCCCCAACCAATTCGCAAACTACATAAATGATTCACATGTTTGATTTCTTGCCACCGAAGCCACCACGTTCGCAGAGAATTTATCCAGCTGCTGAAAGACCTTGGTTTTCCCCGGGCGAGGACTGCGTTTTGTTTGTCCAGGACGCATTGAAAGCTGGGGTTCCTCTACAACTTTCCCATACACTGCCGTATCCTGCGTGCAACGTTTATGAATTTCCACACATCAGGTTTGGGTGCTAAAAAAGGGCTCACGTGAAACAAACGCTCAAGGCATCTTCAGCGCCCACTTTGAGGTTGTCTAGTTGGTTTTGGATGGCGAGGAGTTTGCCGGATCACCAGAGTTGTGCGAGACTGCATTTCCACATGGTCATAGCTTGGTTACATCATTATTCCGCACCGCTCCTTAACATGGTAACTGACGGGTTCTTAGTACTTATAGTTAGATGACTCCAGGTAGCTTTCCGTAGCTGGCTGATCTTGCCAGGATCGGAGAATCTACGTCGTCTCGGACGGTAAATTGTTGCCTTTCCGCCCAGAGCGTGAATCCGGATCACCACTGGAAACCTCGACGGGCTTTCGTTTTCATCGCGAGAAGAGTTCAGCAATCCTCTCGACCTCGTTGACAGCTGAGTTGAACGAACTTGTGTCTTAAGCTGGGCTTCGAACACACGAGCTCGACCATCGCATCGAGCATGCATGCAGAGGATGGGGGTACGATGTCCCCACTACAATTCACCGAATCCAGGTAGTGTTATTTCAGTAGCCCCTTTTTCCACGCACACCGCCCGTGGTTTTCGGAAGCCACTTTCAGTGTCTGCTTGCATGAAGAAGATCGGCGATTTTGATGGACCGAGGGTCCGCAATTTTGTTTTGGTGTTCAAGTCCGGTTTGTTCTCTAAAAATGCAAGGGACGTGTTCTTCGATCGATCTTGAGATTGATGTACAGCAGTAGGTGTCCCAATGTAGTGCCGGTTGAGTAATGCCAAAGTCCGGTTGAGTGCCGGTAAATTCACTTGTCACTGACAGAGGCTAATAGTGCTAACCGGCACTATTGCTGCCCGCTACAGTGCCGGTTCAGGCACTATCGTACCCCTCAATAGTGCCGGTTCAGACTTCCCACACACACAAGACACCAGGGACACAGACGTCATACACACGCCTTACACCACCCGTAGGAGTACACGTGCTGCTGCTGAAGACCCTACCAGCGCTAAGCAGAGGCGCACTATACCCTGTGTGGAAGGTGAATTGTGCCACCTGAAGAACACCATGCCACAAGACACTCATGGCCATGCTTGCCAGGGAGGATGTGGCGGGCGGCTCCACGGCATACGCGGAAGCATTGTTGACGATGAAGACGAGAATTTGTCGAGATAGATTGAGGGTCAGGGGGGTAGATCAGCATTGCTTCAGCGGTTTCCTAACATTTCTCTTTGCGATCGTTGTTCTTGCTTCTAAAGGCTTGCTTTCGGTTCTCAAGTTTCATCGAAGGACGCGGGAGGGTTGTTTTTCTTCTTCACTCCTTTGGATTTGCGTCTGCCTTGCGTTCTTGGCGTGAGCTCTACAACCATGTTTACCTCCTCATGTGCGTCGGGTGCGCGCGCATGAGCGTTTTTCTTCCACTGGCGATGGGTGCCTTTGAGGTTGCCTGCATAGTGCTACGGCCTTGCCACAATAGTACATCATGTTATTGCGAGGTGCCTTTTGAATTGGCAGTACGTTCTACGGTTGAAAGGCAGCAGCAACGTTTCTTTGCTGTGGAACAAATCTATCTGGTCAACCAAGTTAATTTTTATGTGACCAATGCCGTGTTTTCAACAGCCCAAGAGCCTCACGAAACTTGTTGAAGCCCGCCCGCGTCGCCCACCTCACGATCGACCCATATACCGTTCGTTTGGTGCTCTGTCAGCCCCGCAAAGCGCAAGCGCTGCACTCTGAAGTCGCACAGTCCTGAATAGTGCCAAGCCGGCACTATAGAGGGATTTTCAGACCCTGAATAGTGCCGTTTGGCACTATTCAGGCACAATTCAGGCACAATTCTGAATAGTGCCGGTGCCCGGTATAGTGCCGGTCAATCCGCCTGGACATATTCCGGCCGGCACTATATCGGGATACCTACTGTACAAATCGAAAACCGCGCCTCTCGTCGGGAACCTCTGCATGCAGGTGACTTAGGTGTTCCTTCGAGTTCACACCCCCTCGACACAAGACTGAATGAAGCCACACATCGGGCAACGTGTTGGGTCACCTCCCCGCGGCCCGGGTAGCAACTTTAAGGTTCATTGATGCATGCTGTTTTGTATGCGTGTGTGGATGCTTCTGGAGAGCGAAGGTGCCCAACAGTGGAAACATGAGTGTGGAAATCTGTTATTTACATGAGAACACCGCCTAAATCAACGGGCAGTTGCTTTGAATCGAGTAAAGATAGTGGGTTTAGAAACAATTGGCGCAAACTGACAGTAGGAACGAAACGATTGATAGTTAATCCTAGTACTGGAAGCCCATATGGGGACACTTTGAGGGCACAGCACTCAAATGCCTATTTTCCGTACCGTAGTCACCCTAGCCTTCGCTGTATGCAACACACTTGAAAACCCTTGGTTCTATGATGCTTGGCTGAGGTGGTAGGCTGTGTGATATGCTGTGTGATCCTGGGCCTCTAACTTGCTGTCCACGTATCCCAACCCCCGTGCCCACTACGTCGTAAAACTGTACAGCCTGGCTGGTACTGAAAGAAATTGCTGACTTGGCTTCAATATGAAAGTGTCCCCAAATCGGCTTCAGTAGAAAAGTGTCCCCAAGTGTTTTTGGGGACACTTTCACACTGAAGCCAAGTCACCCTTTGTCTGGCAAGGAGCGCAGATTCTTTGGGAGGACTGTAGCCCCTACTAATGACTGACAAACATTTTTACATTTGTTTTTTTTGCGGAGGGATTGGGTGGGTACTAAGAGAGTTGACCGCAGATTGTACTTTCCAACTCTGAGTATCCTCGCTTCTGTGCTTCCGTGAACACATGTTCGGTGTCGACTTTGTATCGAAATGCGAAATCTCGAATTATTTGGTAGGTGCAGCGAAGCTCGTGGTCCTAGTTCTTCTTTCCTTCCCTCTCGCGCCGCCTTATACGTACAGCAGTGACCTAGCGCTTCCCAAGTATCCTGTAGAGACCGGGATCTGCCAAGGGCTCGGATCACCGTGAATCTCGAGATGATGATAGTACCCTCTTTTTTCCCATTTGTTGGGCCCCTGTACTCCCGAACACATGGCATATCCTGCTTCTACCCTTGGGGGTGACAGGGCTCTGCTAAGGGCTCAGACGTGATGGGGCGTTGTTGACTGTTGACACTCCAGGCAGGGCTTAGGACCAGAATCCTCACCCCGTAGCCTTGGGGGGCTGGTCGACTTGTGGACAGGGCTCTGCTTGGGGCCCAGATATGGTAGTTGGAGATGATGATGGTACCCCCTTGTTGTCCCATCCGGGGGGCCTCTGTTGACGTCTGAACGTGAAATGCTCTCTCCTCTCTTCCCTTCTACCCCCGTCAATAGGAGTAAGGGCCTAGCCTCCCCCCTCACACCCAGGAGAGGCTGCTCTAGGGGGTCAACGAAGGGCCGAAGACTCTTGTCTTGTCCATAGATTCACCTCCGTGGTGATATTAAACGGAGGGTAATTTTTTAATGCGAGTCTCTCTCTCTCTCTCTTGCCAACCCGTCAATCAGGCAGATAGCAATCTCAATCTACCATATCCTTAGACATGCAGATATTCAAAGGCGGATTGCTACCGTGAACTACTTACTACCCAGGTGCGCTGTGTCCACAATGCCCTCAAAGCTTGTTATACCTGGAGGAGACAAAAATCAGCTTGATCTCAGGTGGTGGGCACCAGGTAACACTAAAAAAAACAAAGACAGGGGTGTTTTTGAGTGATAGAACACCATACACGGCGATATGATGCCGGGCTGATGTCACGCCAGTTCTTATTCAGCGCAAATGTTCCACCTCCCACACAAAATCCAAGGCACGCGTCGCTACAAAAGACCACAACATGCCCGTGGAGGACGACCACACTAACAAATTTGGCTTAGGCCGCACGCTAGCAAATACTGAAGTAGAAGAAAAAGTACGCAACGGCTTGTAGACACGCCTGAAGTCGGGCAGGGCCTGGGACCAGTGTCCTCCCCCGTGGCCTCGGGGGGCTGGTCGGTTCACCTCCTTGGTGATGGTAAACAGAGAGTATCATCATCATCAGACTTCAATAGGTACCCCTGATGGGACAATAAGGGGATACTATTAACATCTCCAACGACCATATCCTAGACATGCAGATATCCAAAGGCATCCTCCCACCATGAACGACTACTAGCCAGGTGCCCTGCGTCCACAATGCCCCCAAAGCTTATTACTACCGGAGTAGACAACAATGACTTTGATTTCAAACTAGTAAGCACCTGGTAAATACTCAAGAAGAAAACGACAGCGGTGTTTGTGAATGATGAACACCCATACACGGCGATATCATGCCAGACTTATGTCACATCAGTTCATTAGTCAGCGCAGGTGTTCAACCTCCCATGCAAAACAAAGCACGCCCCCAATCAGCAGCGAAAGGCACGCGAAGCAACAAGTGACAACCACACGCAAGTGATGGACGACCACACGAGACTGATTAAGGCGGATCACCCGCAATTGGAAAACCTACGCGGTGTATCGACGACGAACACACCGCAAACAGCGTGCAATAACAAGATTCACCACACGCAGGGAACAAGAATAAAAAAACTACAAACCTCGAAGCAACGCTGAAAACCGATACAAGGCGCTTCCAGTGTTGAGTTAAAAACCTCGAAACACAAACATACACGGCGCAACGACCGGCATGATCGTCAAACAAGCCGACGTCACATAATTCAAAACGTACGCAGCTCGCGAAAAAAGGCCATCAACACGATTTCAAAAGATGGACTCCACGCATGGTAATCAACCAAATGAATCGGACTAATCAAAATATCGCCAACGCGGTCGATAGTGGTTTACCTACGTCATGCAAGATTCAGACATGCCATAACCAAATCATTGCGCGATATGCGAAGAGAGTACACATAAAGCAGTAGAAATGCTATCAATACTCGACAAGATAGCCTTGACTCGACTAAAACAAATAGAGCACCAATGCGAAAGACACCAGCGAAGAAATACCATCAAAGCGCAAACAGACGACTCTCGCTCGACTCAAACGAATCACTCACAAGGCAATGCCGTATTGGTGCGTCAACTGAGCCCGAAACTTTTTCGGGAGACCCAGCTGCCGCCGCTCGGATTTGACAAAATGCGGACGCGGCATCCCAGACCTTTGACAGGTCTTCCAAGGTGTTCTCTTCCTTGTCAAAACCAACCCACTCCACTTCTACATCAATCGCAGGGCCAACGACTGACACATCCACGATCGCCGCCATCTCGAACTCCCCCTGCGTGAAAGCATCTTGAAAAACGTCCTTCAACTCGGCCGTGATCTCGAGAGCGGCATCGGCGTAGAACCGCAAGCGCGCGACGTGGACATCTCGAGTTTCACCCGACACAATGTTCTGAACTCCGTACACATGCGGTCTCTCGGCAGCGAAAATCCTCCACGGCCCCGTCCAAGTCATGAAAAGCTTCGGCGTCGACCCACGCCGGCAAACGCGCGCCACCAACACGTAGTCCCCCACCGTGAAGTCCGGCAGGCGCCCAACACGGGCAGACGCTCGCTGCCAACTCCGAGTCGGCCGCACCTTATCCAGAACTTCCTTGTGACAGTGACACTGGGCCTCAACGACATGCTGCACCTTCTACCGCAAACCCTTCACGTCCAGGACGTTCATCTTCCATTCAGCGCCGGCAGACGAGGCCAAAGTAGAAAACGCAGTGCGCGGCGCTCTACCAAACATGACTTGGTACGGCGTCGAACCGTAGCGTTCGCGAAAGGCGGTGTTCAAGGCCCACTGAACAGCTGGCACCAGAGCAACCCAGCAATGAGTGCTTCTCCTCTCCTCCTGAATCATGGCCTAACGCGTACGAACCACCTCGCGCATCATTCGCTCTCACGTACCGTTAGACCAGGGAGAGTTGGCGACGGAAAATTTTCGATCGACACCGATTGCAATCTCAAGGGCAGCCATCAAGTGTTTTTTGATTTAGGAAGCGGTATCACTCACCCAGACCTCCGGAACACCCAAAGTCTTGCACCACGTGAGGAGATGCTGCGAAGTCAGGCGGGCGGTGCATGCCCCCGTGGGCTCCAGCCAAACCCAGTTGGACATGTCGTCCATCATGACCAAAATGTATTTGAACCCGTCCTCCTCGTCCAAGCTATCTTTTCCCAGCAGACCACTCGCTCCCACGTAGAGGTAGTCAAAAAGAACAACTTCGCCGGGACGCGTGCCATGGGCGGTCTCCCCAAGCGGTTGAGGCACCTTTTCCCCCGCCTTGGAGTCCATACAGTTGAGGCAGTGCTTGACGAAGTCGGTGACGTGTTCTTCCATCCGAAACCAGCAACAGTACTTGGACAACCGCTGCAAGGTGGCGACAGCGCCACGATGCCCAGCTTCTTTGATACGGGCACATACCATCAGTCCCACCTGCAAAGCACCCCCTTGATTTGGAATCCAAAGCACGTCACGTCCATTCATGTTTACGAGAAACATCCCCTCAACATCTAAGGCCGCCGTACCCACCGCCGTCGTAAACGACGTGACAGGCCCGGCAAGCGCGGCGAGCGTACTCCGCGCCGCTTATTGTGCATCACGTACGACTTGCTTCGACGGCGTGGCGGCATCAGGTTGGCTGGGGGCGTAAATCGCGGCAGCACGAACACTCACCGACAGCCCAGAGACCCACCTCGACAGAAGGTCCACCCAACAGTTGCGCTCGCCCGGAATGTGCCGAATGGTGTAATCATACTGGCCTAAGACAGCTTTCCACTGGTCGAGACGCTGAGCCGTTGTTTTCGCTACGGACACGCAAGCCTCCGGGTCGAAAATGTACGCGAGATTACGGTGATCGGTAAAGATATGCACGCCATCCCGAAGCAAGAACTCCAACCGCTTGAACGTACTCACAATCGCGTACCCTTCCTTGTCCACCGTGGCCCACCGCTGCGTTAAAATCCCATTGGCTCATGAGCCATATCCTCCGCTGGGACGTTACGGTCCAGCTGCTCTTGGGGCACTTGGGTGAGAAAACTCCCCCAATGCTCATCAGACGCATCGGGGAATATGAACACGGTTCAACCTGGGCGGGGGTGACACAAGGCAACAGCACGGCCGAAGAGGTCTTGCGTGGCATTCCACGCTGCGATCAGCGCGGGCGTCCAAGCATTCGCAGCGATCGCGCGATTCTTGGCCACGCGCTTCGTCTGGCTCTTGGCACCGACCAAGTGCTGCTCCAGAAGCACGTGAAGCGGCCACAGAACCTCCGCCATCCGCGGTAGAGATATGCGCAACCAGTTGACCGCCTGCAGGAACTGCATCAGCTCACCAGCCGTCTCAGAACGCCGCATGGTAGCCAGACCACTTGGCCGCTCGGGATCATGCTCGACCTTGCCCTGGAAGTACACATTCCCGCACCATGGGATGCTGGACTAAAAAAACGTACACTTGTGGGCGGCCACGTAAAGGCCAGCCCCCTCCCCCCCGGTGTTTGCCATCGGGGTCGGGTTTTTGCCGCTTGGCAACGGCACTGTAAAACAAGCCAATTCACTTCGTGAACTCGGCAACCAGGTTACCGTTTTTTCTTTCACCGCTGTTTTTTTTTTTGGCGGTAACCGTAATGGTGGTCGAGTAGATTATGTTGTGCGTGATTGACAACCCTCACTCCGCGCAAGGGGGATGATCGCACCACGTTGTGTCACAATGGTCAAGCACCCTCGAGGTAGTCACACAGTGCTAACAACTGTTTCTGGAAGTGAAAGCACCAGAAAACATATTAAGTCATACGCAGCTGTCATCCGTATGCAAGGAAGTGAGCACAAGACACCGATCACCCTTAGCAGGATGCAGCGCACCCTTCATGAGACTCGCCGAATACCTCACGGCGCTTCGCGCTTGGTGATGTGAGAGCCTGGTCCGGTGAGAACCCGGCGTGCTCCGTCCCGGCTTTGTAGGGATGCGAGGTCAATGGTCTANAACACCCCCTCCCTCCAGGCGTTCAAGAATCAGGTCGAGGGTGTCAAGCAAGTCGTCTTCAGCCATCCCCCAATACACAACATCGTCTACCCAGACGAAGCAGTTCGGCCCTTCTAGAATGCGGGACAGGGTGGCCTGAAAACACTAGGTAGCATTCAAAATACCTTGCGGCACCCACTTGGGCGTGTAGAGGCTACTTTGCGTGGCAATCGTGAAGATTTCCTGCGCCTCCGGAGACAACGGACACTGCCAGTACCCTTGTAACACATCCAAGCGCTCGAAAAACTTGGCCGCAATGAGCTGAGCCATACTTGCTTGTTCGCCGCACGAAAGTCACTCACCAGCCGGTATCCCCCTTTCTTCGTAGTCGCCACCGCGGCGCTGGCCACACGGCCTGTATGTCGAGGAACACCAAGCCCAGCGTGACGAACGACGCCATGCACCCCGCCAGCCACGCGGTCTTGATCGGGTTGTACGTCCGCGGTCGAGCTTTAACCGATCGCGCTCCTGGCTTGAGGGTGACTCGCAGAGGCTCGACGTCCGTGGGAAGGTCGCCCAGTCGCAAACCACGGCGGAACGCATTCCAGCGCTCACTGATGATGCTCCGTAGACGACCCACGTGCGGCTCCTCCAATCCAGCTACAAAGGCGGAAAAGACAGTGCTGTTCAACGATGCAGACCGCGCCGATGCCTTCTCCTCAGGGCTCATGTTCACATCGGGGCCTCGCGCCACCAAACGCTCGACCGCTGGATCTGGCTCGGCTTGCTCCGGGCCTTCGCGCTGCGGCAGGGCATCAACGGCAAGCGTAACTCGGCGGCATTCTTGTACGCCACGGTCTCAATACCCATGACGCTAGCGTGCGAACTCGCACAAGCCCCCAAGCTCTCGTACACGTCGACCCCCAACGCCTTCAGCGTCAGGTTGCGAAGAATAACCACCTCATCGTTGAGGGGCATGGCAGCAAGTGAAAACGGGTCCACCGACACCAACCCCCAGCTGGAATGCAAAGCAAAACGCACGGGGCAGGTTTTCTGTGTGACTTTGAGCACGCGGCCGTCCGCGACTTTCAGCTTCCCCGGGTTTTGCATGCCCCCTACGACCTGTACATCCGGAAAGCAGCTTGCAGCCTACTCGCGATACCTGCTGACATGGTGGTGAGCCCCAAGCCACAGTCCAGAATCGAAGCAGCTTCTATCGCAGTCATTTCGGCAGTATCAGGCACCGACAAACTCACTTCATGCGAGTCAACCGCGATACCTTCTGAATCAAACCCAGACATATGTCCGGGCTGGACTCCACGATACGCCGGCACGAACGGCCCCTCAGGGCCGGGTGGTATCCCCACCCTTTCATTCGACGCTAGAAAGGATGCGGGGGCAGTGGCAGCTGACGGTGACAGGTCAGGCGGGAGGCGTCGGAATTTCGTCGCCCTGGGGTTCACCTGCAAAAACAGCCCGTCCTCTTACATGGCGTTGGTGGAAGTTGGTAGACGATGCCCCCCTGGAGCCACGGCCCCCTCCTGAAGAAGGCCGCTGCGCCGGCTGTTGACCGTGAGGGCGCTGATATTGCTGCGCGTGCCCCTGGGCGCGGTGTTGTTGTTGCTGCTGCTGCGGCTGCTGCGGCTGCTGCGGTTGGTATCCACGGGTATCCCCGGTGCCGCTAAATGCCCCCCATGCCCCCCATGCCCCCCACGCCCAGCTTGCTGGGTGGGGGCTTTGGCGGGGTACCGCTGCGAGGGACAGTTCTGCGGGGCTTGGCCTGGCTTCTTGCACCTGAAACACGTCCACGAGCCAAAACACGGACAAAGCGCAAGTATGGAAGGATAACTCGCAATGAACGGTCGAATCGCCTAAGCACCGACAGCCTTGTACGTAATAGCAGACGAACCTCCACAAATGTCAAAGTCCCAACAGTACCCTAACGTCGACCCAGCAATGTTATACATCGTACCAAACGCTGATCATCGATGAAAAACGCCGACACTACGTACTCTCGGACAGACATAGTCGCAGATACTTCGCCATCCTAAAAATAACTGTGTCAGGTAAGTAACTACCATACACCAACACTGTAGGCGGCAGACACGCCTGAAGTCAGGCGGTAAGCCCACCCTGAATCTCACCGACCTCTCCAGCAAAACCTTGCTGTCCGCCAAGCGCCCCCTTGCCAGCATTGGAGCGTCTCTAGGCCATCGCCCCGTACGACGCCCGTGCAGATGGAGACAGCAGCTCCTCGAGAGATCAGTACATCAGCTCCCCCAGCCTAGCCTCGCACCGGGCGCGTCGGGACAAACGCGGAGGAACAGCTTGTACTGCTGTTGTCTCGAATAATTTTGACCCTAACTGACCCTGGTCGGTGAGCCTGAGTCATCGATAACTGTAGACACGGGCAGGGCCTAGGACCAGTGTCCTCCCCCCGTGGTCTCGGGGGGCTGGTCGGTTCACCTCCTTGGCGATGGTTAAAATAGTATATTATTGCACACGGGTCTCTCTCCCTCCATCTTTCTCTCTCTCCTGCCAACATACCAACCAGGCTGACAGAAACCCTAATCTAACATAATCCTAGACTTGCAGATATTTTAAGGCATCCTTCAACCATGAACCACTACTAGCCAGGTGCGCTGCGTCCACAAGGTATACCCGTCTCTGCGTCGACAATGAATAGGAAATATACCCCGGCACAGCAGGCACGCCAAGACCAAGCAGAAACACTCTGAACGATGAAGTATACTATCAACCACAGTAGGAAAGCGTAAGTCTTCAAAAGGGAATAAGAACACCGTATTACTCCAAACAGTTCTTAGAGATACGGCCTAGGTAGGCACTATCCCCGCGGATATGTACGTGTAGAATAGTGGATCACGCCAAACCTTTGTTAGAGATAGGCGTACGTCATCAATGTTGTGTCTTGAGCGAACAGTTGGAACCTGAAACACATTAGCAGCAAGTGGTCTGAAAGGTATCGTGACATCCTCACGGCAAATGAATGCCCGTGAATTTCGAATACTGCATCTCTCCAATTCGCAAAACTCAATCGAAGCGTCCGCCTACAAGAACAGATCACTCAGAACATGCGAGACACCCACAGGCGCCAGTTGAATTTGCACTCAAGCAAATGCTAGCCCCGCACATCATCAAGCACGCGAATTCGCCCCACAAAACGTGAACGCCCCCCTCTTTCGTGCGCCGTGAACCGATGCACCTGGAAACGATCGAGAACACGCCACACCCGTTCGCAGACAAGGGTTAGGCATGCATGCTCGATCATGAACACGCTGTTAACAATTGCAGAAAAAACATCAAGGCATGGTCATGCTCGGCCAGAGATGCTCGCACCGGCTTCAAAGCACATAACCCGCCAAAACGCAAGATTCATGCAAAACTTGTACGAAAAAGCACCAAGCTCTACGCCCAAATAGGTCGCCCGGATTTGTTGTTAACATGTCCAAATGAACGGCATTAAACATTCCACGCTAGCCAAGATACATCATCATCACCATCGGGATCCGCAGACTCGAATGCTAGAGCACAAGCGACGAACGAGAAACATGCCCAACTCCATCGGCAGAGTATGTTGACACAACCACGGTGACACCAGCAATATGACACCACCTTTAGAGTCCAACACGAGCGACTCGAAACAAGGCTCACCCAGAAGCAAACAGCACGTACATGCGCACTTTCAAATGCGTCACATATATTTCAGATATCACATACGCCTCAAACAAACAAGTCAGCACGTTTGCCGTACGTAGTCACTGTTAGGGGTGTTAAAGCGGCGGAATTTGGGGCCAAAAAAACGTCCGATCCATTCGGCAGAACTTGAGGGGGGCACGCGGATTTGGTTCCTTTTTTGGTTCTTGAGAATCCCGCTGTTAATACTGAATAAACTATACATCAAGTCAATTTGTTTCTACAGGTAGCTCTGCGTCCACACAGCAGCATAGTTCTTCATGCGTTACACACACCTGGACACAGGTCCAATAGAGGTGACTGTAGGGTTGGATTCTGTTCAAGTTAAAGGGCGGACGAACAACACCAAAAAACATGAGTTTTTGGGCTCTTTGCTCCACGCCCAAGGCAACCTTTGCTCCTCTCGATCTCGCGACCGAACAGCCCTCTACCTTGGGTTAACAGTACCACACAACAAACCGCATCCGAATCGCATCAGCCAACCACGAGATCTACCTTTCTGAAAAGGGCCCCTCCAGTGGGGCTGCAGCGCCCACACCAGCAGACCCTCGAGGTCCGCGCCGTTTGGCAGCAGGAGGCGCGTTGCGCGAAAGCTGAATCAAAACAAACGAAGTTTGAAGAGAGGAGGGGGCAGTGTATGGTTGCCGCGTTAGCAGAAGATAACACGCGGCGCGCTATCAAACGCGGCAGCCTCACCGTCGTAAAGAGAACGCCGGAGGAAACGAAGGGGGAGTTGGTCAAAAGTAAGAAAATTGTGGAAGAGCGCCAGGCTCAACCTCGCTGCCGCCGCCGCTGCTGCTGCTGCTGTTTTTTTCAGCAGCAGCAGCGGCGGCGGCAGGTGTCTGCGTGGCTTCACCTCCCGGCCGCTGCTCGGGTGTGTCATGAGGCATGTGTTCTAGAGTGGAACCGCGCAATGGTGTTGTGCTGTGCCCCATAGCAGGGCGCAAAGCACACAGGCGAGCCGCGCCCCCGTGCGTGTGCGTCAGAGGGTCTTTTCGGGAGGTTCCGACGCATCTGCGCAACTTAATTGGTTGGTCGATTTTCCATAAGCAAGATCCGAGGACGCTTTTTCGAAGTTTTTCCTGTAGGAAATTTTCCGCTTTCACACCCCTAACTGTAGGACGGCAATAAAGGTAAAAGGCAAGTTTTCTACACAACTTCCACAAACACATGTTTCGAATTTACGACGTTGCAGCCAGCAGGAAGATAGAAAAACGTGTACCTCAATACACAACAACCACAAGGACGCTAGCAGAATACGAAGACTCAAAAGGAACTACTTGAATCAATTGCCTCCTCTACGACCGCTCGATTGCCAGCAGACAGGAGGTCGGTGACCGTAGATCATCACTCAAAGCAGGTAGGTGCCTCACGCCCACAATACCAAAGCATACCATCAAACTGCCAAGCGTCCACAACTCGCCGTTACTCCTGATTCCAGCAAGCCGCATCTCCTTTGAATATGTACACTCTATGCTGCGCAGTAATTAGTGGCGCAATTAGCGCACGGAAGTTCTGGACAGAACCGTCCATTGAAAGCAGCCACTGGTGTATACAACAGATGACCTACACCTATGCGAAACGTTCCACACTACGTTAGGAACATTTTTGAAGTTGTGGAAAAAAGTGGCTTGAGCTTCCAATCGAAAATCAACCTGCCGATTCGAAATTTGCAGTAGAAGTAGAGTAAATTCAATTTTGTTAGCAATAGCTCCCTTGCAAAGCAGTGTAAAGCAGGAGCAGAAAGCAATCAGCCGCAAAACACAGTCAATCATGCCGTACAGCAGTCGTGAAATAGGTTTGGTGACCTTAAGATGAGCAATCGTCGCTCTAGCACATACTGCACCAGCAAAATCGAGCAGTACAATGCTGCATACATGTTTGTATACACTACGGAAAGTGTGCACCAACATTTGAAACAACAGACGGGCGAAATGGAGAATACAGTCACCCAATATGTGGATAAATACTGTACTGCTGAAGATTCGGCAGGAATCTAGCCTTCCCGAGAAGTAATCAACGAGGTTTGTTTGGAGGTTTGCAAAAGGATTCCTTCATAAAAAAAACCCTTAATTTCTTCACCATAAACACTCTCCAGTCCAACAGACCCACGCGCTCCAGCAAAATGATTGTCTCGAGTACGAAATTTCACGACACGAGAATCAAACTTCGCCTCGGAAATACGCGGTCGATGTCGGTGTATGTCATACCGCACACTACGGTGGCTATCACACGCTGAGCGCACTGTCCATGCGGAAAGACGTTGTTAACGATCACAGCGAGTAGGCAGGAAGCAGGCAGGTAGCATCGCACGCGAGGCTGAAACGAAGCCTATGCTAGCTTTAAATTTTTCATATGACCGACAGTTTGAATCACCGCACTCGCAGATGACATTGGTAAATTGGTTCATGGGTTCTCTCGTCGTAATGGTCAACTCTAAACTCGTTGGACTATGGATATAGACTCGCGAACAATGGCCTCTCTGCTATATAACGTTGAAACTCTTGCTTTTCGAAGCAGTGGTCTTGGCTTAGTCTTTCGCATTCGAGTACGCTGACCGGCACAAGACTACGTCGTCACCGCAATGCCCGAACAAGATATTCAGTGGCAAATCGTCAACTGTATGATTTTCAGAAATGCTGCATGTACGTTGTGAGATCACGCAAACACATACGCACACCCGTCGCCCCGGTGGCCTAGTGGGTAGTCTCGCAGCCTGCTAAGGGCCAGATCATGGGTTCGAGTCCCGGCAGAGTGAGTTTTTTTGTCACTCAATAAATCCTGGCCTAGGATGAAAGCGACGCGCTGCAAAGCTCGTTTGTTAGTAAACCATAATCGACTTCGTAAGTTGCGAGAGAAGGGATTGCTGTACCGTTCTCGCGATAAAAATACCTCAGGCAGGAACCGCAGGAGGGGGTCCAGCCCCCTCCATCCTACGCCCCCTCCAATGTGACCCCGGTTGGGTCGTATAGCTGGTAGAAGTGGAGGATAGGGGCCAGAGGGGCAGACGTCAGAGTCCAATGATGAGAGAAAAAAAAAAAACGCGTGCTGGACACTCGATTTACAATCACGCACAAGTAAATCGACCCACAAATTTAAGATAGTGCACGTCGCTGTAGGCAACTTGTCAGTCAACACACGTTTTCTTGGTACCCCTGTTGGAGTAATAATTTGCTGCCGTGAGCAACTTGACTTCAGCTGTATGTGAGCACATTTTGCTCACCTCTATTTCAGCGGGGATTGGAGTTGAACGCACTTTTGCTCACATTTATTGCAGTGAGAATCGGAGCTCAAAGCACACTAGTAAGCCAAACCAGAAAGCAGGTTCACGAGGGACGATCCCGACGAGAGCCTTGCACCGAAGCTTCATGGCTGCAGCAGGCTCAGACGCACGACAATCATCATGCCGTCGAACTGCCGGTTTACGCCCAAAACTGCAGTCCTGCTCCAGATTCCGTCGCATTTTCTGCGTCAACTTTTTCGCGAGAGCAATGGTGCGACCCGTGCTCAAGGTATCGACGCGCAACAAAAAGACGCACCTCTCCTTTAGTGGTACCGTGCAGCGTCCCACTATTTCGGTGGAATATAGTAAAGACCAAATTGGAATATAGTGTAACTTGGTCGATGCGGAATCCCCTATCACAAACTATAGCGCAACTTGACAAAGCACAGAGCTGTCATTCTGTGCTAACAAAAAAAAATGCACTATGTCTTGGAGTAATAATAATAAAAAAATAATTACGAAATTTGTGTGTGATAGTACCCGGCGATGTTGAAACCATGCCCCAGGGCCTGCACCGGTGATCCATGTATCGTTTGAACAGGGTGATACAGCCACCTCAAGTGCGAAATATCAAACAATATGTCAGCTTGCACTCAGGATGGCACCTTCTGTACAGCCCCCTTCGTGTCGCTGTTCGTGAATTAAAGTCGAAACATATTGGCCCAAAAAAGGGCATTTTTTTGGTTTTAGCTTTTTTTATCTCTAAATGGCATCTTCCGCGTCCTCACCCAGCCACTCATCCGTCTGCTCCTCCACCCCATCCTCTATCTCATCCTCGGCCATAGCCTCTTGGTAATCTGCCACTGAATACTCCAGGCCATCTATCGTACCGCTCAGGTTTCCACCATACAGGCCGATCCACTTGTTCATCTTGTAAATAGCATGCTCCAACTTCCCACAATTGGCTGCCTTCCACCCTCCCTCCTGACCGTCCCATTCCGGTTCTCCATACCAACCGAGACGGATTTGCTTCGAGATATCCAACATGTCCCGCCCCTTCTCAAAATGAATGCTCATTTAATGCTTGCCGTGCTGCCAGAACAGCTCGATCGGCTGGAAAGTTGGCATGTACCGCGGTGTCAAAATCAACCCCAATTTTGTTTTCCTCTGTTTTTTTTTTTGGCGGTGGCCCTGAATGGTGGTCGAGTAGATCATGTTGTGCGGGGTGGACAACCCTAACTTCGCGCAAGGGGGATGATCGCACCACGTTGTGTTAAAATGGTCAAGCACCCTTGAGACAATTACACAGTGCTTACAACTGTCTGGAAGTGAAAGCACCAGAAAACATATTAAGTCATACGCAGCTGTTATCCGCACGCACGGAAGTAAGCACAAGATGCCGAACACCCTTAGCAGGATGCAGCGCACGCTTCATGCGACTCGCCGAATACCTCACGGCGCTTCGCGCTTGGCGATGTGAGAGCCTGGTCCAGTGAGAACCCGGCGTGCTCCGTCCCGGCTTTGCAGGGATGCGAGGTCAATGGTCTCATGACTACGGCATGCACGACTATGAGTACACCCCCCGCCCCCCCTCCCAACCCCTTCTCCCTCATGTACGTCTCAGCCTTTTCCTCGAGCTGTTGTGGGAAATTCTTTCTGAAGTACGTCCGAGTGACGGAGGCTATCTCTACTTTGCTGACGCTGTTCTTGCGGTTCGCATTGGATAACAACCCCTGCACCGGCACCTCGAAGTTGTCCTCAGCAGCCTTACCCTTCGATTCACGCGTCACCTTGAACGACCTGCAACCGTACTTACGCAAGAGTTCGACGTTGTACTTCTTACTGTTGGTTTTGGGCACCTTGAGCTCCTCGTCAAAGTAGTGGTGGTATGAGGCGCTATCGAGAACGAGAAACATCTTGTTGTTCTTGAACTGCGCATCGAAGGCCAGGGTAAGTCGGTGCTTCAACCACTGCATGAACATCCCATCCATCATGGCGTTATGATGATTTCCAGTTGCCAACTTGGCCTGCCACAGAAGTTCTGCTGTCTGCTCATCTGACGTTTCGAAATCCGCCTCCGCAGGCTTCATCTTCTTCGCACGATTTTCTTTAGCCTTGAACCAACCCTCACGGATAGGAAATCCCTCCTTTAGCTCGGCCGAGGGCCTGTGCACCGTGATTGCATCCACCATGAATATACGCAAACCTTTCCCCGTTGTACGGCCTATCCCATCCTGCACGACCCCCTTATCGTCAGAAGGAAAGTAACACGAGTACGCGGAACCATGCGCGTGGTGAACAAAGCTCTCATCTATGGACACAATGACTGCGACCCCAGCGTCCTCGACCCTCTTCGCGAGGTTCATCTCAACAAGAAAGAGACGGATGCGGTTTTTCCTCTCCTCGTTCAACGGAGGTATTTTGATCCTACTTCCCCCCCCAGTCTTTACTATCGGGGTTGGGTTTTCGTCGCTTGGCAACGACGTTGTAAAACAAGCCGCCCCTCCCGGTGTTTTGCCATCGGGGTTGGGTTTTCGTCACCCGGCAACGATGTTGTAAAACAAGCCGCCCCCCCCGGTGTTTGCCATCGGGATTGGGTTT